AAACAAAAATATTCCTCATCAAATTTCACTACGGGGCGTCCCTTATAAGAAATCTATGGATATAATATTTAATACTACAATTGGAGAAACAAATTGTTTTTGAAAATATTTTTTGTAAAATTTTGCACAATTTTCGATTTTGAAGCCAAATAGCCCACTAAACTTCATTTCAGGTGGTAGGTGCTAGAGAAAAAATTATTACTCACAAAATTTCACTATGGGTCACCAAACAAAGGAAATCGCTAGATATGATATATAAGTAATCAAAATCGGATATTTTTTAGGTTAATAAAGAAAAATTGCAAATTATGAGGAAGTTTAAGCAACTATAAATAAACCCTAGTTTCAGGGCACCCTTCGGTTTAAGGTGCACACTATGTTCAGAAATGTTAAAGCCAACATCGCGAAAAACAATTTTGTAAGACATCTTAACCCTCTTAATATCCATTTTAGGGGTCTTTCGGGTACTTTTTCAAGAACACCTCAAAATGACAACTTTTTAAAGTAGGTTGCAATTGGGGGCCCAAACGACCTCTAAATCTTTATTGTAGAGGATTTCTTCTGAAGATAAAAATATTCCTCATCAAATTTCACTATGGGGCCTCCCTTAAAAGAAATCTGAAGATATAATATTTAACACTACAATTGGGGAAACAAATTGTTTTTGAAAATATTTTTTGTAAAAGTTCGCACTATTTTCGATTTTGTGATCAAATAGCCCTCTAAACTTCATTTCAGAAGGTAGGTGTCAGAGAAAAAAATATTCGCCGCAAAATTTCACTATGAGTCACCAAACAAAGGAAATCGCTAGATATGATATATAGTAATCAAAAATCGAAAATTATTCAGGCTAATAAAGAAAAGTTAGAAATTAAGAGAAAGTTTAGGCAACTAAAAATAAATTCTGATTTCGGGGCACCCTTCCATTTGAGGTGCACACAAAGTTCAGAAATCTTAAAGCCAACATCACGAAGAATAATTTTGTAAGTCATCTTAACCCTCTAAGATCCCATTTTAGCGGTCTTTTGGGCCCCTTTCTTTACAAACCCATAAAATCACTTCTTATTAAAATAGGTTGCAATTGGGGCCCCAAAAGCCCTCTAAATCTTTATTTTTGAGAATTCCTTCTAAAGAGAAAAATATTTCTCATCAAATTTCACTATGGGACCTCCCTTACAAGAAATCTGTGGATATAATATTTAACACTACAATTGGGAAAATAAATTGTTTTTTAATTTTTTTTTTTTTAAATTTTGCACTATTTTCGGTTTTGAAACCAAATAGCCCACTAAACTTAATTTCAGGTGGTAGGTGTCAGAGGAAAAATTATTCCCCACAAAATTTCACTATAGGTCACCAAACAAAAGAAATCGCTAGATATGATAACCATAGTAAAAAATCGGAAATTATTTAGGTTAATTTATAAAAGTTGGAAATTAAAAAGAATTTTAGGCAGATAAAAATAAATTCTGATTTCAGGGTACCCTTCGATTTGAGGTTCACACTATGTTCAGAAATTTTAAAGCCAACATCACGAAGAATAATTTTGAAAACAATTTTAACCCTCTAACTGCCCACTTTAGGGGTCTTTCGGGTCCTTTTTCAAGAACACCTCAAAATGACTACTTTTTAAAATAGGTTGCAATTGGAGGCCCAAAAGACCCCTAAATATCTATTTTAGAGGATTTCTTCTAAAGAGAAAAATATTCCTCATCAAATTTCATTATGGGACCTCCCTTATAAGATATCTGTGGATATAATATTTAACACTATAATTGGGGAAATAAATTGTTTTTGAAAATATTTTTTGTAAAATTTTGCACTATTTTCGATTTTGAGGTCAAATAGCCCACTAAACTTCATTTCAGGTGGTAGGTGTCAGAGCAAAAATTATTCCCCGCAAAATTTCACTATGGGTTACCAAACAAAAGAAATCGCTAGATATGATATATAGTAATCAAAAATCGGAAATTTTTGAGGTTAATAAAGAAAATGTGAAAATTTAAGGCCTTAAAATAAATTTAAGCCTTATAAGAAATTCAGATTACTTGAGACCCTTGGCATTAAGTCACAAACTATGTTTAGAAAAGTTAAAGCCAACATCACAGAGAATAGTTTTGTAAAACATCTTAACCCTCTAGCTATCGAATTTAGGGGTCTTTAGGGTCCCTTTTTCTTAACCACCAAAAAATGGAAACCTTTTTAAATAGGTTGCGATTGGGGGCCCAATAGACCTCTAAATCTTTATTTTAGAGGATTTCTTCTAAAAAACAAAAATATTCCTCATCAAATTTCACTACGGGGCGTCCCTTATAAGAAATCTATGGATATAATATTTAATACTACAATTGGAGAAACAAATTGTTTTTGAAAATATTTTTTGTAAAATTTTGCACAATTTTCGATTTTGAAGCCAAATAGCCCACTAAACTTCATTTCAGGTGGTAGGTGCTAGAGAAAAAATTATTACTCACAAAATTTTACTATGGGTCACCAAACAAAGGAAATCGCTAGATATGATATATAAGTAATCAAAATCGGATATTTTTTAGGTTAATAAAGAAAAGTTGCAAATTATGAGGAAGTTTAAGCAACTATAAATAAACCCTAGTTTCAGGGCACCCTTCGGTTTAAGGTGCACACTATGTTCAGAAATGTTAAAGCCAACATCGCGAAAAACAATTTTGTAAGACATCTTAACCCTCTTAATATCCATTTTAGGGGTCTTTCGGGTACTTTTTCAAGAACACCTCAAAATGACAACTTTTTAAAGTAGGTTGCAATTGGGGGCCCAAACGACCTCTAAATCTTTATTGTAGAGGATTTCTTCTGAAGATAAAAATATTCCTCATCAAATTTCACTATGGGGCCTCCCTTAAAAGAAATCTGAAGATATAATATTTAACACTACAATTGGGGAAATAAATTGTTTTTGAAAATATTTTTTGTAAAAGTTCGCACTATTTTCGATTTTGTGATCAAATAGCCCTCTAAACTTCATTTCAGAAGGTAGGTGTCAGAGAAAAAAATATTCGCCGCAAAATTTCACTATGAGTCACCAAACAAAGGAAATCGCTAGATATGATATATAGTAATCAAAAATCGAAAATTATTCAGGCTAATAAAGAAAAGTTAGAAATTAAGAGAAAGTTTAGGCAACTAAAAATAAATTCTGATTTCGGGGCACCCTTCCATTTGAGGTGCACACAAAGTTCAGAAATCTTAAAGCCAACATCACGAAGAATAATTTTGTAAGTCATCTTAACCCTCTAAGATCCCATTTTAGCGGTCTTTTGGGCCCCTTTCTTTACAAACCCCTAAAATCACTTCTTATTAAAATAGGTTGCAATTGGGGCCCCAAAAGCCCTCTAAATCTTTATTTTTGAGAATTCCTTCTAAAGAGAAAAATATTTCTCATCAAATTTCACTATGGGACCTCCCTTACAAGAAATCTGTGGATATAATATTTAACACTACAATTGGGAAAATAAATTGTTTTTTAATTTTTTTTTTTAAATTTTGCACTATTTTCGATTTTGAGGTCAAATAGCCCACTAAACTTAATTTCAGGTGGTAGGTGTCAGAGGAAAAATTATTCCCCACAAAATTTCACTATAGGTCACCAAACAAAAGAAATCGCTAGATACAATATATAGTAATCAAAAATCGGAAATTATTCAGGTTAATAAAGAAAAGTTGGAAATTAAGAGAAAGTTTAGGCAACTTAAAATAAATTCCTATTTCTGGGGACCCTTCGATTTGAGGTTCATACTATGTTCAGAAATATTAAAGCTAACATCGCGAAAAACAATTTTGTAAAATATATTAACCCTCTAACTATCCAGTTTAGGGGTCTTTTAGGTCCCTTTTTCTAAACAGTCCATTAATGGCAAATTTTTAGAAATAGATTGCAGTGGGGGGGCCAAAGGACCTCTAAAAAAGGAAAAATATTCCTCATCAAATTTCACTCTAGGCAAAATTATCGTTAGACATACTATATACCATAAAAATATCGGCGAAAATTTGGTATATATAAAATAAAATTTTTGGCAATTTTTTGGTTTCTTCCCAAATTGTTCGGAACTACCCATAAATATTTACCGTAGAGAATTGGTGCTAAAAGAAAAAATGTTTCCCATCAAATTTCACTATAGGTCGGTGAACAAAACAAATCTCTAAATTTAGTATTTATACCGAAAAATTAAAGTTAAAATCAGGTTATTTTAAAATTTAGTTAATTAAAGTTAATTATACGCTAGGGTGTGCCATGTTAAATGGTTTGTAGACATTTAATGCAGACTATGAGAGCTCTCTCCAGGGTATATAATTTCCTTATCAAATTTCACTATGGGTTTCAGAACAACAGAAATCGGAGGCTATAACATATATCTCGAAAATATCAAGAACAATGCGACTTATCTGAAATTTGTTTTTTAATTTCTGCATTTTTTTCAAATATTAGCCAAAATCTCCCCTAAGAGTTTTCACAGAGAGTTGGTATTAAAGGAGAAAATGTTCCTCATGAAATTTCACTATAGGCCCCCAAGCACAAGAAATCGGTAGATATTATATATACCATAAAAATATTGGTGATAATTCGGTATATATAAAATGAAATCTTTGGCCAATTTTCGGTTTCATTCAAAACTTAGTCAGAATTTCCCAAAAATATTTCCCGTAGAGTATTGGTGTCAAAGACAAAAATTTTCCTTATCAAATTTTATTATGGGTCTGCAAACAAAAGAAATCTCTAAATTTAATATTTATAGCGAAAATTTCAAATTGAAATCAGGTTATTTTAAAATCAATTGAATTAAAATTACTTATACGCAGGGGTGTGCCATATTAAAAGTTTTGTAGACTTTTAATAAAGACTGAGAGAGCTTTCTCCAGCGTATTTATTTTATCAATTTCCCTTCTGGAATTAATCAATTTTCTTCACTGAATTCCAGAATTTTTTTTATATATTTTTTAATTCGAAATATTTTCTCTTTACTTACCCAGCCGTGAATCGTTTTTCTTTCGCACCCGCAAACATATCGTACACGATTTGATGCACTGCAAAGAAGAATACAGAAAATTCAATATCAAATTCCAAATTATTTTTCCCATCTCCAACTTACATCGTGTATGTGACGTATAACCTCGGTGCGCGATATATTATCCAGCGTTAAGCCATTAACTTCGAGTATCTCATCGCCCACTTCCAAATTATCACGATCCGGTGGTGAACCGTATAATTTAATTTTTCCATCAACATTTTCCACCAAAATGATGACATAGCCGGATAATTCAACAACTTGTTGCTGCAATGAGAACGAAAAAAACAAGACAAAAAGAAAATGAAATGAGTTAAGGTATCAAAAACTTAAGAATAAGGCAGGACAATAAGAAGATTAAGACTGCAAATCAGTTAAAGGATACACGTAATTAAACGGTCAAAATAAATATGTCCAAAATATTAAAAAATATTTTCAAGCTTCAAAAAAGTGGATTTTTAAAAAAATATTTTTTAAGTCCCGCCCATAAGCAGGGTTTAAAATTTTTTTTTTTTTTGAAACAACCAAAATTTTTGATTTTTTGAAAAATATTTATTTTTCCAAACTCCGCCGAAAAATGTTAAAAAAATATATTTTCAAATTTAACAAAAAGGGAATTTCTTAAAAAATATTTTTTTGAGTTCCATCCAAAAATGGGGATTTAAATAAAAAATTTTTTGAAGCAACAAAAATTTTATATTTATTTCTCCCCCCTCCTAAATATGTCAAAAAATGTTAAAAAATATTTTCAAACTTCAAAAAAGTGGATTTTTTAACAAATATTTTTTGAATACCGTCCATAAACGGGGATTTTTAAAAGAAAATTGTTGGAGCAACAAAAATGTTGGATTTTTTTTTGAAGAATATTTTTTTGCTTAAAAAAAAGTATTTTCAAGCTTCATAAAAAATGTGGTTTTTTAAAAATATTTTCAACCTCAAGCCTCACACGGCGATTTATAAAAAATATTTTTCGAAGAGTTTTTTTTCAACGGGATTTTGAAAAAAATAATTGAAGCAACAAGAATTTTGGATTTTTTTGAAAAATAATTTTTTGAGTCCCACCCAAAAACGGGGATTTTTTTAAAAAATTGTTGGAGCAACAAAAAATTTTGGATTTTTTTGAAAAATATTTATTTCTCCACCCTCCTAAATATGTCGAAAATGTTAAAAAAAAATATTTTCAAGCTTCATCAAAAAGCGTGATTTTTTTAAAAAACATTTTTTCAAGTTCAAGCCTCAAACGGCGATTATCAACAATATTTTTCGAAGGGTTGTTTTTCAACGGGTGTTTTAAAAAATATTTAAGCAACAAGAATTTTATTTTTTTTTTAATATTTTTTTGAGTCCCATCTATAAACGGTGAAACGGTGAGCGTGGATTTTTTTAAAAATATTTTTTTAAGTTCAAGCCTCAAACGGCGATTTATAAAAAATATTTTTCGAAGCATTGTTTTTCAACGGGAGTTTTTAAAAAATATTTGAAGCAAGAAGAATTTTGGATTTGTTTGAAAAAATTTTTTTTGAGTCCCACCTATAAACGGGAATTTTAAAAAAAAATTGTCGGAGCAACAAAAGTTTTGGATTTTTTTGAAGAATATTTATTGCTCCACCCTCCTAAAAATATTTAAAAATGTTAGAAAAAACTATTTTCAAGCTTCATAAAAATGCAGATTTTTTAAAAATATTTTTTTCAATTTTCAGCCTTAAACGGCTATTTAAAAAATATATTTTTCGAAGGGTTGTTTTTCAAGGGGAGTTTTAAAAAAATATTTTTGGAAAAATAATTGTTTAAGTACCACCAAAAAAACGGGATTTTTTTAAAAAAATTTTGGTGCAACAAAAGTTTTGGATCTTTTTTTTTTTTTTTGAAGAATATTTATTTCTCCACCCTCTAAATATATTTAAAAACGTTTAAAAAATATTTTCAAACTTCTTAAAAAACGTGAATTTTTTAAAAATATTTTTTTTTTAATTTTCAGCCTTAAACGGCGATTTAAAAAATATATTTTTGAGTCCCACCCATAAACGGGGGTTTTTTAAAAAAATTGTTGGAGCAACAAAAATTTTGGATTTTTTTTTTTTTTTTTTTTTTTGAAAAATATTTATCTCTCCACCCTCCTAAATATGTTTAAAAACGTTAAAAATTATTTTCAAGCTTCAGAAAAAAATGTTGATCTTTTTAAAAATATTTTTTCAAGTTCCAGCCTCAAACGGCGATTTATAAAAAATATTTTTCGACGGGTTGTTTTCCAACGGGTATTTTAAAAAAATATTTGAAGCAACAAGGATTTTGGATTTTAAACGGGGATTTTTAAAAAAAAATGTTGGAGCAACAAACATTTTTTTTTTTTTTTGAAAAATATTTATTCCTCCACCCTCCTAAATCTGTTTAAAAATGTTAAAAAATATTTTCAAGACTCATAAAAAAACGTGAATTTTTTAAAAATATTTTTTCAAGTCCTAGCCTCAACGGCGATTTATAAAAAATATTTTTCGACGGGTTGTTTTTAACGGAAGTTTTAAAAAAATATTTGAAACAACAAAAATTTTGGATTTTTTTTAAATATTTTTTGAGTCTCAAACGGCGATTTATAAAAAATATTTTTCAAGGGTTGTTTTTCAGCGGGAGTTTTAAAAAAAATATTTGAAGCAACAAGAATTTTGTTTTTTTTTTTTGAGTCCCACCCATAAAAAAACTAAAAAAAACTGTTGGAGCAACAAAAATTTTAGATCTTTTTTTTTTTGAAAAACATTTATTTCTCCGCCCTCCTAAATATGTTTATAAAACTTTAAAAAATATTTTCAAGCTTCAAAAAAATGCATTTAAAAAAAAAATAAGCCCCCCAATTTTTTTTAAAAAAAAACTTTTTTGAAGCAACAAAAAATTTGCATTTTTTTTTTTTTTTTTTTTTTTTTTTTTGAAAAATATTTATTTCTCTACCCTCCTATAAAAATATTTTCAAACTTCATAAAAAACGTGGATTTTTTTTAAATATTTTTTCAAGTTTCAGCGTCAAACAGCGATTTATAAAAAAAAATCAAGGGTCTTTTTTTAATATTTTTTCAAGCAACACTTAATTTTGAATTTTTTGAGGAATATTTGTTTCTCCACCCTCCCAAATATGTTCAAAAACATTAAAAAATTGTTTTCAAACTCCTTAAAAAACGTGGATTTTTTTAAAAATATTTTTTCAAATTCCAGCCTCAAACGGCGATTTATAAAAAATATTTTTCGAAGGGTTGTTTTTCAACAGGAGTCTTAAAAAAATATTTGAAGAAACATTTTGGATTTTTTTTTTTTGAAAAATAATTTTTTGAGTCCCCTCCATAAACGGGGATTTTTTTAAAAAAATTCTTGGAGCAACAAAAATTTTGGACTTTTTTTTGAAAAATATATATTTCTTCACCCTCCTAAATATGTTTAAAAACATTAAAAAAATATTTTCAAACTTCATAAAAAACGTGGATTTTTTAAAAATATTTTTTCAATTTTCAGCCTCAAACGGCAATTTTTTTAAAATATTTTTCGAAGGGTCGTTTTTTTTAAACTTGTTTTTTTTATATTTTTTCAAGCTACAAATATTTCGGATTTTTTTTTTTCAAGAATATGTATTTCTTCCCCCTCACCTCCACCTGTTGATCTTGACTTTTCGACTGAATGGTCGTGCTTTTCCTAATGCCACAACGCATGATGTCCTTGGCGTTGATGGTGTCGCTAAGGAGCATTTGAGCCTCACTTGTCCTTGTTGGGTGGTTTTGTGAATGGCCAGCATGTCTGTCTGTCTGCCTGTCGGCCCTTCTGCTGCATGCCATGCGTTGACAAACGGAAATGAGGGTGGTTTCTGGTGGCCCACACTGGCCGGTGGTGATAAATAGACTGGAAATGTTCTTTCATTACTTGGCCGGGTAGTTGGTGGGGTGGTGGTGGCGGTAGTGGTTGGCAGTAGCCAAGATGTTGGTCATTATATTTAAATGCCACTTTTATGACTTTGGTGTTACTTTAAGCCCAACACCACTTCCTCTCCCCCACCCCCTTCTTCTCTCATCCACAAAAAAACCTCCTTTGTGTGGTCCTTTATTACAAAGACTCACTTGTTGTTGTTGCTACTGGCCCTGCCATTTGAGACATGAAGTTAACAAAGCCTTGACTGTGTTTTTTGGTGATAATGATGCTGTCTCCAAAAAAAAAAACAACAACCTTTTATTTATAACCTTTTGATATTTAATAGTTCATGGCGCAGATTGGAGGTCCTACAACAAATGTCAAAAGCAAAACAATCAAAAAATGGACAAGAATGACAGCAGATAGGATTTGGAGCAGGGCGAAGAGGAAATTACACATATCAATTTAAAGTTTCGATGTTGGAAGGGATGTAAAGTTCGGAATGGTAACTAAAAATATGTCCTTATATTTTTTTGAAAAAAAAAAATGTCCTTGAGAGTCCTTGATAATTCTCCTTGGAAAAAAAATTCTGTTGCTCCTTGCAAAAAATTTCTTTGCAAAAATATATTTAAAAATCTGAATATCGACTTAAAATTTTCTAAAAAAAATGTCCTTGAAAGTCCTTGATGACAAAAATTGAAATTTTTTGCGACAAAATTTAATTTTTTCATTAAGTCCGGAGAAAATCCAGTAGATTATGAAAGTAGAGCTAAAGAACGAAAACACCTGTTTCGGGGTTTTGAAAATTTACATTGGGTAAGGTAACCTAAAAAAAGGGGACAATTTCCCCCCTTTTTCATACTTTTGGAAATTTTCGGATAAGGATTCCCCGGAATCCGTGCATTTTAGGCTTATAGTGTCTTCGGCAATATTGCGGATAAAAATAAGAGGATTACTTTAGTAAGTAATGTTAACCCTCATGCGAGCCAACAAAGGGGTCTTTTTGGTCCTTTTTTGCAAATATGACTAAAAACTCCCTTTAAACGGGATCGTAGCAAGTGAAAATATTCTACAGAATTATTGGCCATAAAATTCTACTATAGGTCCTAGAAGACATCAAGAGTGTATATTTTACCGGAATGCCAGGAAATCACATATATTAAAAACACATTGTGGGGGTTAAAACCGTACTTTATGTGAATTTATGCAAAATTCTCAAAGAAAACATCATTCTAGAAGGATGAGGTCAGAGACAAAATTATTCTGCAGCAAATTTTACTATAGGTAGTCAACGAAAAAAAAACCTCTATCTCTATTGTATTTCAAAAAAAGTATGTATCAATCCTCCCAAAAAACCCCGAAAATACCGGGTGAAATGAAAAAAC